TTGGTACCCACTTAGAATGAGCCCCAAATGGTATTTCTACCAAGAGGTTAGTAAGGTTACTATTTTGAACTTTCATCAGGTGAATCTCGGGAATCCATGAACAGTCGGAAAGGAATTTTTACCGTGTCAATGGTAACATGACCATTCCTGAATGGTGACTCTACCATGCAGCACTTCAGAAGATGGTAATATTACCTAATTGGAAAGAAAAAAAACAGCATGCATGGTTACTTTACTGTGATGTCTTGGTAACCAGACCGACTTGTGCTGTGTGTGCATACACACACAACATGTGTACGGAGAGGAAACAAGGAAGAAACGGTGAAGTTACCAGTCTAAAAACCACCCTCAAATCCTGGTTATATCACCGTCCAGGATGGTAATACAACCATGCCCTGGGGGTGGTTTTTGGACTAGTAACTTCACCGTTTCATTCTTGTTTTCTTCCTGTTCTGCTGAGTGTGCGGTAATGCTTGGAGAGGACATCTATACAGAGAGCATTTGAAGGCAATGTAACAAGGCAATGATGGTGGTTTTTGGTGCAGTAACTTTACCTTTTTTTCTTACGTACATAACATCGATGTGACTTCGTCTTTTCCCCAAGACCACAGACATGAGTTCATTTCAAAGTCATTTCCATCTCATGCCCACAAATATTTTATGATAAAGCTTTTATATCAGATATTTCAAAAGTCCAACTATTTCATGGATGAAGTTATTTATCGAAGTTATTGACTTCTGATGAAGTCAATAACTTCGTGATCGTGATAACTTTAATATTAGATGCGTGGGGAATCAACCATTATTTCTCCCCGCAAAGGATGAGTCTCATTTGGTTCTTTTACGAAGAGGTTAGTCATTTTACCAGTTTGGCTATCCAGCTCGCAAATTTCAGGATTTCGAGCTTCACCCACATGGTTTTCTTACCGTGGCAACGGTAACATTGCCATTTGCGTATGGGGATTTTACCGTACAGCCTGACGAGAGGGAGTAAACATGTCATTTCCCTGGTACCTTTACTTCGATTGCATGGTTACCGAACGGACTCGTGTTGTGTGTGTAGGGTGCGATCAGGAGCATTATCTTACATTCGTTTATTATCTTATATTCGTTCATTATCTCACTTTCGTTCATTATCTCACTTTCGTTCATTATCTCACTTTCGTTCATTATCTCACTTTCGTTCATTATCTCACTTTCGTTCACTATCTTATATTTGTTCATTATCTTACATTCTTTCATTATCTTACATTCGTTCCTTATCTTATCTTACATTCCAAACCGAAAATGTTCCAGATGGACTCGAAGAGTGTTAAACTTTAATCCGAGGTTTCTGAGCAATGGAGATCAGCGGTCCAAATCCTATGGATCGATTAGCAGATTTACCTATGGCTTGAGAAGATCCAGGATAATATTAGGAATTGGCAGGCTGTGTCGGGACCACGAGACTGAGTCTCGCCTGGCGGATGAAAACCATTCGGCTGCTTTCTCTTCCGGCTTCCCAAAAACAATTTTCGAATTTTTTTTTTCCGCGAAGGAGTCTTTCGGTGTGCGAGGATTCCATCGCGGTGGTTAGACTCAGATTTCAAAATACAGATGCGGCTTTTTTTTTTTTAGCACAAGTCAGATTGATTGATGAAGATGTGAAAAATAAACAATTTTTGGACACCCTCTGACCGAAGCTTTCTTGAGCAACCAATTGCTTGCTCATCAGAGAAGTGCATCGATTTGATGCAGAAAAAATTAATGTACACAGGAAGCATCAACGAGGGCCGCATTGAGAACTTTGCTTTGATCTTATGCAGAGGATCTGATCTTATGTCTTCTGCATGCAGACACTGAAGGGTTACGACCTATAACCCCGTCGGCTGCATTTGCCCCTTTGTGCAGAGATTCGCTTGGGTTCCGCCGACGCGATTTAGCGGGCCGATGTGCAGACCTGGAGTTCGCGTGCAAATTCCGAGAATCCCATTGCGTCGGGTTGGACTTTGGCCTCAAGTTTGGAAAAAGTACCACAAGTACCTACAAGTACCGTATATACTAACGCTTCCATTTTCGGGATATACATTTTTTAAATCATAATCTGAAAGGTCACTAAGAAAAAGAGGAATGTAGTTGGACGATAATGTCAAAAAGTGTCTTATTAAGATGCTGGTGTTTCGTTGAAAGACCTTTTATTTTTCTTTGAAACATCAGTTTCGTTTGATGTCTGGTTTTGAAATGCCTGCTTTCAATGGCCTGCGTCTGCTTTTATTTACTATACGATGGTATAGTAAATAGAAGCAGGACAATTTTTGTTCCAGTTTATATTCAAACATGTAATTAAAATTTGTAACGTCGCGAGACGCATAAAAATTCCGACTCGGATTTGATTTCATTTCTCTTTCTTCACGTGGATGCGTCGTGGTTGCATTAGGACCTACTTGAAACATTGCATGTAGGGGTCGTTTTCCGGAACTGTTTCATTTTAGAGGCAAAGACGGTATACCATGTTTATCGATTACCATCTTAAACCCGAGTCGCACGAGAGAGAAATCTCCAGAAATCCTTGGGAAAAAAACGCCAAAATCCACGTGGCTAATTAACATTTGACATTTGGCATAGTAACCTGGCAGTCACGGCAAGGAAGGCACAATTCAGGCCGACACATCACATCCAAAGTGGCGACATCGCACTGACGTGTCGAGCAATGCCTTTTTTCGGAGCGGAATTGAAGCGGCTTATCGTTTATGGAGTTTCTCTATGCGACCGAGAAGCTCTCTTCTGCGATAGATAAGAACTCGTGTCGATCTTACATATAGCTTATGACTAACTCGTCAGGCAGAATTCCAAAGAAAACGCGAGTTTTCTGTTATCTGTTTCTCCACCTAAGAAGGTCCTTGCAGGGAAAATAATTAAAATATATTAAACACTTAAAACGATTAAAACAATTAAAACGATTAAAACAATTAAAACAATTAAAACAATTAAATGTTAATTTTGTTAATTTTGTTAATTTTGTTAATTTTGTTAATTTTGTTAATTTTGTTAATTTTGTTAATTTTGTTAATTTTGTTAATTTTGTTTTAAAACAATTAAAACAATTAAAATATATTGGGTTTCTACCCAATATATTTTAATTCCCTTTAAAGAAAGTCCGACGAGACAAACAAAAAAGGTTGCTGAAATTAGTATCGAAGCAAAAGCGCTTTTTTGGAAACGACTCCCCCCCGAAAATGTGTACATCTTGAACATCGTTAGAATTAGCGTTACTCAGTCACGGTCGTCTAACGGAAGCGACTTCGGCGCTCTAAGGAAGCATTTAAAAGGCTTCCGTTCTCCCTGATGAACCTCCTTTTTCCCCCATGGCTTAACCTCTTTGAAGTGAAGGGTGACTCGTTCCGTCGGCGTCGATTCCAGGTCGACGCGCTCTTGTTTGCACATAAATCTTCGGAAACATCTAAGTTAGGGCAGACACAAGAGCCCATTCCTTCAGTGTTCCAAATGCAAGAATTCTTTGCAGAGATTAATGGGGAATTCATTCGTTTTCTTTTTGTCTATATCTCGACACAAGTACTTTAATGAAGTCCCTATTTTTTTTTAATGCTCCATCTAATGCTCCCAGAGGAAATGCATCATCGAGGATATTCAGCCCGTGTTCAACGTTTATCCCAGTTATTTATTTAATTTATTATTAATGAGAGCACAAGCCAGCTTCAAAACAAATTGCCTCATCATCATTCTCAAACCCGACAATACTCAAATCCGTTAGCTAAAAAGTTTGCGTTACATATCAGTATGCATTCATCCGCTTAAGGTTGCTGTACCCTCGGCACAAGGTCAATGCCACTTGGCCTCGACCAATGCCACTTGGCATGTGTGTGGCGATGTGGCCTTGTGGCTCGCATTTTATCGTCTTCCCGTTTCTTCTGGTTCTCGAATAGTTTTTTTGTGAAATTATTTACTTATTTTAATTATTGAAATTATTTATTGATGGGTGTGAGGAACTTGTGGCATTTTCCGGTTCAGGTTTTTGCTTGGTTGAGGGCGTTGCTGTGGTAGACTCTTTGTGGTGGAGGCTTTTGTGGTGGAGGCTTTTGTGGTGGAGGCTTTTGTGGTGGAGGCTTTTGTGGTGGAGGCTTTTGTGGTAGTGATATTTGTGGTTCATGGTAATAACGGTATTGGTTATTGCAGTTGAAGTTTTTGGTCGAAGCTTTTCTGGTTAAGGCATTGTAGATTTCATTTCATTTGCCGCTACTTTCTTACTGCATTGACGATGAATTTCTGCAGGAAATCGAATACAGTGGGAGAGTATGCCTCGGTTCCCTCATGGCAAATTCAGGGCAGAAATTCGAGGAAGGGAGGAGGGAACGAGAGGAAGTCCTCCGTCTCGCCAAGGACTTCATCGACAACTTCTACGCCGACATCGGAATGTGAGTAGAAAATATGAACTTTCCTCCACATCCCACAGCTTGTGGGATGTGGCTCCTGTGGGATGTGGCTCCTCGGCGGGAGCGGGACACGAGATCGCAGTCCCCGGACTTGAGACTGCTGTTCCGGGTCATTGGAGGTCTCTTGCTCTAACTGGCTCACATTGGCTCAAACTGCCTAGAACTGGACCAATGAAGGACTGAAAGAAAACTTGATCAATCTGTGAAGAAAGCCCTAACGAAAGAGAAAAACCTGCATGCCCCTTCCTTTAAGAATCCCCACTTCTTTGACGAGCGAGACCGCCCTGCTCCCTCCCTCCAGGTCCGAGACGGCCGCGCAAAGGGATCGCTCGGCCGCGATCGAGCTGCAGGTGACCTCCACCGGCACCTACGACCTCACCTCCGATGAACTCGCCTTTGGCGCCCGGAACGCCTGGAGGAATGCGTCGCGATGCATCGGCCGCATCCACTGGCCCCCGCTTAAGGTTCCAATTTTCAGACTTAATTTTTTTAATGCCTATTTTTAAATTATTTTAATTTTAAAATTATTTTAATGTTTATATTATTTTAAAGCTTAACTTACTGCAATAATGTTTAACTTAAAATACTTTAATAATTTATTAATTCGAGGTATTTTCTCCTGTTATTTTGTTCGCTCTGATGCAAAAATCCACTGAAATTTTCGAAATTTCCTAATCCGTTTGGAATTTAAAGGAGAATATTTTTCGACCTTCTGTTTCATTTTAAATATTAGTCATAAAACATGCACAGGTTGGATGAAGCCACCCACTGTAAGATGCTCAACCTATTTAATCCGCCTAATCTGCTTAATCCGCACGATCAGCCTAACCGCAGCGGAAAACGGCCCCGCAGGTGTTCGACGCCCGCGGCGCGACCACGACGGCGGGGATGTTCCAGGCCATCTGCGACCACATCAAGTACGGCACGAACGGGGGGAAGATCAGGTAATTGAGCGAAATTAATTAAATAATGTGATTTCTGCTGCTATGTGACTATGTGACTGCAATGTAAATTAGGCTTTATTATTTTGCAAATAATTGGTGAGCGGGAATTTCACCAATGCAAGTTATTTCGACCGCATCAAGCCAGTTAATTTCAGTTAATTTCAGTTAATTTCAGTTAATTTCAGTTAATTTCAGTTAATTTCAGTTAATTTCAGTTAATTTCAGTTAATTTCAGTTAATTTCAGTTAATTTCAGTTAATTTCAGTTAATTTCAGTTAA